CAGATACAGATACAGATACAGATACAGATACAGATACAGATACAGATACAGCTCTCTTCGCACCCATTACAGGGTATAACTAACATTAACATTGAAATTCACTTCTTTAGCGATTTGCATAATGTCCACGTAGGAAATGACAATGCCCATTATGCAATGTGTTACAGTTGCTAGATTTTGATTTTGTGCAAAAACTAAAGCACAAACTCACACACACACACACATACACACACATGTATACCATTTATATGTGCATGTGCGCAATGGTATTGAATTTCGTTTTACGATTTCATTTTTGGGCCATGTCAGAATCGTTTGTTGTGTCAATTTATGCCGAAAGTTGAGATGGCTGCCACCCCCAAAGAGCAAACAGTAAGGGGCTGGCAGGGGCGGGCCGTCATGTGCCGCCGTATATGCAGCGCACATTGTGCACTTGACTCGAGGCTGACTTTGGCAGTTGCCACAGTCAAGCGCTGTCTATTGTGCCAGCTAGTTGATTGCCATGGCGACAGACAGGGATTTTAAGGAGCTGCGTTTTATGATCGCCAGAGACATTTGGCTTTGATGACACAGCACAAATATGAAGGCAGGGAGAGATGAAGAGCGAGATAGCAAGAAGAAATCAGTCAGCCAAAGTTAAAGTTCAAATCGCCGAGCATGAAAAGTGTCTGTTAAAATATTACGACAGCGAGGCTCAAGTCCGAGCTGCCTTCATCAAAGTCAAATGTACACGACTGCATATAGATATATGTACATATGTACATATATGCATATGTATTGTATGTGTATATGCATGTATATTTCATAAATTGAAGAAATACTTTGATGTAATGCCAGGCGCTAAGGGAATTTTTAAAGACATTCGAGCTTGCGAGGCTTTTTGCTGAGATGAATTATCTTCGACATCACAGTTAGAACTCCCAGCGGACGAACGCATTTAACGAATTGAAAGCGTCAACTGCTTAGCACCACAGCAAGAGATGCTGTAAACGAAATTCATTTGAGCTATGATAAACTCAATGATACCCTGCTCTATACTAATCTGGTTAAATTATAAAATATAACTTGGAATTGAGTTGAAGTGAAACATTAAAAATACATTTTCTTTTTCCCGAAAATATGTCACTCGTTTGTTTTTCTGTATCAAATTATCCGGAGAAGAGAGAGATAAATAGGCACTATCTATCATATAACTTTTCTCAAATATCCCCTCAAATATCCTAAAATATCTATATATATAAATTTTATTTGTTTCCAAATGTTTTTTTTTAATAGATCTGGCCCAATTTCTCTTTCTCTCTCTCTCGTCTCTCTTTCCAAATTTCTTTCGTTTTTTCTCTGAATTCTAACTTCTCTGCCTTTTTCTCTCTCCCTCTGCCCTCATTACTTTTTTCTCTCCTTCTCTCTCTCTCTCTCTCTCTCTCTCTCTCACTCTTTTGTAATATCTTGCTATATCTCATTGTATCTTTGCTTAACTGTGCGCACGTATCTTAATGGTTACAGGGTATAAGAACAGAGGCTTATCGGCCGTAAATTGCTGCAAAGGCATGGCAAGAAAACCAAAGGCTATATGCAACTGGCAAGCGGGAATGGAAATGGAATTGAATGTGGAAATGGAAATGGCTAGAGAGCGGCCGAATGGGTGGGAGAATGAGCACAAGAATCGACACGCGCAAACCCTGACACGTGGCCTTAACCGCACCACGTAACAGGCACACACACACACACACACACACCGACACACACACTCAGATTCACACAGAGTCGCACACACAGTCGAGTGTTGAAAATGAAATTGAAAACTGTTAAATAAATCGCTAGCGAGTGAGCTGCTTGCACATGGAGCGTTTGCCCAGACGAATGGGCAAACAGCAAGACAAACAGACCGACGACGGATGGCCGATAGCCAGGGCAGGCATATAACGAAGAGGTGCGGTATATGCGGGCGGCAGGTGCAACTGGAGCAGCGGGCACTCGCCGCACTTGAGGCGCCCACTCGACCCTAATTCGGTCGCCACAAAGAACACACAGGATACAGGATAAGGAATAACGCTGCAGCCCAGACGTCGGGGCATTGAACGTGATTGGATTTTTATATTCAATATAAAAAGGATTATACGGCATTTGTATTGATGCAGGCACTGGCAAAGTTCATAATAATTGGAAAACTTAAGACACCCACGCAGACACAAAGCATCGACCAGAATCGAGCTCGCACACATAAAATCTATTTGAAAAGTCCTAAATATAGAATGGATCCAGCGAGACCGGGCCGTGAGTCCAGCACTTCCGCTTGCCATTGTTCGTCAACACTTGGGAAATACCGCAAATGAACTCAGGCGTAAAAAAGCAAATAAATGTGCGTCAGTCGAGTGTGACTGACTGGAAGATACCCTAGCAGTACGGTAAGTGAGCTAGGTACAAATTGCTACTATCAACATTTTGGGGTAAGGGAGGGAAGTATCTAAAAAGAAAAGCCATTGCATCTACGTATACTTAAATAGAAAATGTATGACAGCTTTGGTAGCCCTGAAGTCTTAGGGCATGCGAAACCAACTCAATTAACAAAGGTCAATATCGATATTAATCGATTTTATTATTTCTTATACATGAGTCGAATGAATCTACTTTTAGACGAACGTGATCTAAGGAAACTAAGACAATCAATATCTGAGAAGGCGAATTGAAATGACATACATGGAAGACCCACATCTAGCACCCTCATATGTCTAAAGAACGATGGTAGAAGGGGCAGACATACAGACTAAGCACAGGTGCTAACCCATTCAGTTAATGATTTGAAACGAATTTAATCTTCTATCGTTTTCACTTCATGTTTCAAGACTGACAGACGGAACGACAACTCAATCAAGCTGATAAAGATAGATATATGCATGTATACATAGAGTATATAACACCCTCTTTCCGTCTGTTACCCAAGTGTTAAACAAGTCATAATACCCCGTTTATTCATTTTTAATGTGTTCGCAGTAGCAAAGCCTTGTCGCTCAGCCCACCCCAATCGATATCAATTGAAGTCTGTGAGAGTTTTAGGAGTGTGAGAGAAACCAAGTGAAGCAGGTAACAACTTAACTTGCGGTTAAATATTAAACTGCCGACAATAAAATAGAATAGGCTTGAATGTTTTTACTTGTGCTGCACTATTTATAGCTGAGAACAAAGGTTTTCCCATCTCTAATCGATCTTCTATGCCTGCTCAAAGAGTGTCTGGGAGCGTACTATATAAAACTAGATAGTGGCTCTAGAATTTATTTGTAATTTGAAATAGGTATATTTCTCTTATAGTAAAAAAAAAGTTCTATACAAATTCTTGAAATAAATATGTACTTATTTTCGAGTATTATTCCCAGACCTCCTCTAGCAAAACCAAACACTGTATATAACCAATATGCCCTCTTCACTCTCACTCGAACATTTCTCTTTGCTTTATTTTCAATTCGTCTGCACGTAAATTCGCCTCTTAATAGATTCTAAGACCTGCTTTATCAATTTTCACGTTTAATATTTAAACGTATTCTTTATGCTCCGGCTTGAGCTCTCGCACGAATTTTACACACTCCATGCTGTATTTGTATACACGAGCTTTTAGAGCTAATGCCAGGGCTTTACCCATTAAATGTATATACCCTTATTTTATATAGTGTCACGCTCATATGGCCGTGGCTCTGGCTATGGCTTTCCCCCTTTCATATGCCTCTCGCCCCCTAGGCGAGCTGAGCTCGTCTAATGACACCGGCAGGCAGCAATTTAAAGTGCTCGGACAGTTTAATGGACATTGTCGGTATCCATTGTATTAATATTGGAAAAGGATGGCCTCTGAAATTAACGGGCCCACATACAACATACAACAAACGACCAAGGCAGTCAGCGGCAGTCAGAGGCCGTCGAGGCCATCGGCTGCTAATAGCTATTGACCATTAAAATTGCTATGAGCTTACCTCGGGTATATCATCTGGCACCTTGCCCATCCACGAGAGCGAGAGTATTGTGCAGTCGCATTTTGTGTTGATGTTCCGTTCGAAGTGTAAATGCATTTTATGCCGTTCCAAAAAGCACTTTGCGCTTCCGCTTCTTGGCTAGAACAATGCACGCTGCAGCTGCTTCTCCTTCTGCTTCTCCTTCTCCTTCTGCTTCCTCTTGTTGATATTGTTGATGGTACTGATTTATGCCACGCACATGCTGCTGCAAATAGGAGGAGGAAGCGTGCGTTGATTATCGGTTTCTAGTTTAACAAGCCAATAAACTAATTTAACAATAAAACCTAATACCATGGAAGCTGCCTTATCAGCCAGCTGCCAGGCCAGCCGTAGCTCTGTGCATGTGTGTTTGTGTGTGTGTTGCGGCATATGCTTGCTATCTAGCATAGGGGTTGACAAATTGAAGCACACTTTCCGGCACACCGAACGTCGCACGCTAATTGGATATTAGCGGCGAGTGTAGAAAGTTCCCTTCCGCAGGCTCCAACAGGATATACATATATACATGCATATGTGCATGTCCTATCTAGCATTCGCTTCAACTACACTTTAGCCACACACACACACATACAAATATTGCGTAGAATGCAGAAATTGAAAAAAAAAAACAAACTCTTGCCCTCTTCTATGTATGCTCTAACAAAACTAATTACAATTTATGCCAGGAAGTGTTACATGGATTGCAGAGAGCATCTAGTATATTTACTTTACATTGAGCTTGTTCTCATAATGAATGTAGGCGAGTATAGAGATATATGAGAAACACAGCTCAAATGCTTGAACTACAAGCTCTGGGATTGTTGGATAGGAATTTAAAGTGAAAGACCTTCAGCTTCTATGGATAACTTCAAAAGCTGCGACTGCAAGAGCTATCGCAAATGGTCACCTTAAAAACAGTGTAGTTACCCTACTACGAGCAGTATAGATATTATATACTACACTACTAACTATATATACTAAACTAGCATAGATACTATCCCAATACTTAAACTATATAGCTTAGCTATTTTAGTCTCTCTCTTAGTCTCTAACTGACTTTAGCTCATATCTCTCAAAATTAGCATACGCATTTGCCCAACTATACTTGGCAGGTGTTAGTTATCAAGTGTAGCTGTATAGCTGTCTATGCTGTCTCTGTCTGAGTCTCTCTCTCTCTCTATCTCTCTCTCTCTCTCGCTCTCTCCATTTGCCCAACTACACTTTGCAGGTGTTAGTTATCAAGTGTAGCTATCTATGCTCTGTCTCCGTCTGGGTCTCTCTCTCCCTCTCTCCCTCTTCTCATCCCTTCTTCTCTCTCACTCGCTGCTCTCTTTGTATGTCTTCAGTGTCTATCACTTGGTACTACAACAATGTTTCAAAATATGTCTAAATAATTGATAAGCTGCTGAGCGTCTCTTGTCTGACGCTTAGAATAGCTATATATATGTATATAGTATATGAGTGTGTGTGCGTGTGCGTGTGCGTGCGCCCCTGTGCCTGTGTCTAGGCATTAAGTCAACATCAACATTTGTCTTGGGCCGCTGGCAACGCATACACTTCAATTAGGTCGTGCGCTTTGTCTGATTGAATTTGTCATATGATATACGCAGATAGACAATTTTTGATTGCGTATACGCCCCGGGGCTGCTGCCTGGCCGTATTGACAATCGAATGACATTGCCAAATGTCGACAACAGCTGAGGGACAACTTTTCGTTGTTGTTGTTGTTGTTGTTGCTGCTGTTGTTTGCCCTTTGCTCTTTGCCGTCTGCCAGATAAAAGCCCAGCTAGTTTTCTGAGTCGACATTGTATTAAATTACAATTAAATTTCCATTACAAGCCAGAGTCTTTAAAGCGCTGCGGCACCCCCCCCCCCCCCCCCCCCCCCCCCCCTTCCTCCTCCACCTCAAGCAATCAAAGTCAAAGCAAATGCTTGAATGTATGAATGTATGAATGTATGCGCATATGCCACGAGCTATATTTGGTACGTGTTTTTTAGCCACTTTTCTGCAGAGACAGACACTCATACACACACACACACACACTCACACACATATTCACATTCACATATCAAGGCAAATCGTTGTGAGCGACTTTAAAGTTTGCCCACAAACTGTTTTAGTCTTACGAGTTTCTTGCTCTGTCTCACTATCTCCCTCTCTCTCTTTCTCCCATGCCTAAACTGCTTCTCCTCTCTGCTGCTTCTCCTCTCTGCTCTCCTCTCTGCTCTCCTCTCTGCAGCTGTCTATGCCGTTTGAGCTAGGCTCTTCTAATGCATAAAAGCTTTAGCGAAATTCATGAGCGCCACGTCGAAAAACTGTCCAAGTGTCAAGCAGAGTCTGGAGAAGTGTGAGACACTTGCCACATGACACATGCCCCACGTGCCACACGTGCGATTTCGCTGCAGTTGTGCAGCAATACATGAAATGTGCAACTAACAACAACAACAGCAACAACAAACTTTGCCTTGTCCTTGACGCTTTTGGCTGGCCAAGGAACTAGCCAAAAATAGCCGCCACTTAAGTACAGTGAACACTTGACTGCAAGAACACGAAAAGTTTGCAGCTCAAACTCAAAGTTTTTACTTACTTTGGCAACAGATATATGCAATATCAAATGAAGTATATATATATATATTTTTTTAAATTAATAATCAAGAACATAATGCGAAATTATTATGATAATTTAAGTTATTTTTAAGCTTTAATTAAACCAAAACTAAAATTTCTATATATTTTTATGTCCAATTGCTCTGTCGCTGCCTCATCGTGTTTACTGTTATCTATAAACCTCGCTCGTAGGCGACAAAATATGTATGTATGTGTGTTTGCTGCAACGCTCAGAAGTAGGCAACACTTTTCTCTGTTAGCCGCGGCCTTGCCATTAAAAGTTAATTATGTGGAAGCACTGTCATATACACACATACAAACACACGTACATATATATAATCCCCTAGATTAAAAGCGTGCACATAAGTTTTGCTTTCTCCAATGCCCTCCCTCTCACTCACTCTCACTATGCACAACTTTCTCGCTGTTGCAATTAAACTGCCTAAATGGGATTAAGCATACGCCCCATTGTACGCGCACATTTAAGGCGCTTATTTACTTTGTGTTTTTTTATGTTTTAGTTTCTTTTTATTTTGGTTTCGTTTGTTCTTCACATTCTCTCTCTTTTCTTTTTTGGGGCTCAGCGCAGCAAGCCTAGTTAAGCTAAATGATTTTGAGAGCCTAAAGGCGCCAATGAAGTGCCTCTGGTGGCATTCAAAGTCAAGCTCATACACTGCAAAAAAAGTTTGGCAATTGGGCATATACGTGAATGTATGGGATATTGTAAAGAGATAAATATTAAATACAAATACACATATGTATTATTGTTCTTATATACCCATCTCTCTCTCTCACTCTCTCTGATTTATTTGATGTTCTATTTTAATCCTATTTACAAATATGAAATATACTTTGTCTTTTATTTCTTTCGCCCACTGCAAGTCGCAATAAACTAATGTGACTTTTGTAAACATGTTGTCGAGCATTTGGCTGGATTTATTGACGTATCGATTCAGTTATTAAAAGAATAACTGATTCCATCGAATTACGCTTCAGCAGCAGCTTGTTTTTGTTTTGATAGCCATTTAATAAAATTCCCCGAACGACTGTTTAGAAAACGTTTTATGATTCACCTTTGCAAAGAAATGACAACTGAAACTTTTCAAATAAACATGAAAGAATGCTCTAGTCGGAAATACTCGGTCAGGAGATACACACAGAGATACGTGCACAGAGTTCCTATTCCAATCATTCCACACCTTTTCCGCACACTCTCCACACACACACACACACTCACTAAAACATGCGTGTCGCTTACTGTGAAGCTTGCGCAGCGGCTGCGCTTATGGGCTTTACTGTTAGGAAATTAATTGTTGAGTGTGTGTTTTTTTTTTTTCTTGTTGAGCTTTCTATATGAAATTCCGATGCGACTTGAAAAAGAAGCTAGAGACAAAAAAAATTTGTGTTGCTAAGATACTTCAGTTCAAACGTAGGAATATGAGTAAATATTAAAAAAATAACTAGATGAAAAATACAAAAATAATATAAAATGATATTAATTAAATATCTTTACATCCATTCAGATCTGTCTATAGTAAAATTGAAACAATTGAAGATAACAAGGAAATAATAGAACTTATCGAAAAAGAAAAATATACCACGTTTGGTAAATAGAAATATATAAATTTCAAATTATGAATATTTTAAATATGAAATTCCGATGCGACTTGAAAAAGAAGCCAGAGATACAAAAATGGTGTTGCTAAGATAATACAGCTAAAAGGTATGAATATGAGTTGTTATTTATAAAAAATAACTAGATGAAAAATACAAAAAAAAAAAATATAAAATGATATTAATTGAATATCTTTACATCCATCCATCCAAATATGTCTATAGTAAAATTGAAACAATTGAAGACAACAAAGAAATAATAGAACTTATTGAAAAAACAAATATATACTACGTTTGGTAAATAGAAATATAAAAATTTTAAATTATAAATATAAATTTAGCTTCTTTGGCTTGCGAGATTGCTGCATTCATGCGGACAGACAAATAGAGAATGCTCTATACATATACATATATGTATGTTCTATCCATGCCAAACCTTCAAAGCTAATATATACTAAATTCCCACATTTAATGGGCTTAGAGTAAGCAAATGTTGATAATGATAATGATAGTACTTATGATACCGATAATAAAGATAATGATAGTAATAATCATAATGGTGTGATAATAATAGTAGTCAGATACAAGTTCCGAGTACAACTTATTCAATTCATAAATCATATTCATAGAATTCATAAAAGTTCTATTGATTCTGCCCAAAAAAACAAGCTATATAAACATGTACATGCAAGTCTACACTTTCTATTCTATCCATGGAACTCATGAGACAGGACTATCTTGTCAGCAAATCTTATGAGTTTTATGACTTTTCATAACGTGTCTAGATTTTTGATTAATGTAGTACTTATGGCTATCACAGTTGTTGTTGTTGTTGTCGTTGTGTTTGATGACAACATGTCAAGCGAGGCATGTCGAGCCGTGTCCTTGAGCTGCTTTAAACTAGTTCAACGCTGCGTAATGAAAATGCAGCCATGCATAACAAAACAAGAGGCAAAGGCACTGGCAACAACAACAAACATTTTTGCAGAGCATTTCGTGTGCGTTGTTGTTGCTGTTGTTGTTGTTGATTGCATGCGGCCACAGAATTCCTAGATGCCAGGCACCTCGACAAGAATCTAACTCTTTCGCTGTCTCGCTCACACTTCAGTCCATACTGCCTGTCGCGCGCTCTCTTTCTTTCTCGCCTCGCTTTTGGTCTCAAGTTGCGCCTTTGTGCATAATTATCTTAACTTTTACTCGGAGTGTTGTTGCTGCTGTCGACTCAAAGGAGTTCAAAGCGCAGCCGAGTCGGTCTAAGAACGGCCGCAAGTGCTAATTTGCAATACGCTTGAAGGTACGTTTACAGTTAGTTCTTGTTTCATGTTGTTAGTCTGAAGTTGTTCCTTTCTGACCTTTCATTAGCCACACGCCAATGAACAATACGAAAAACATTTCCAAATGAAACGAACGATTCTGCTTTAAAGTTATGCGCATGGAAAGCATTGAGAAATTGTGGAATGCAGCAGCTATAGTGCAGCAAACGAGCAACAGAGGGCGCTACAAAGGGGGTCAAAGTCTAAAAACTTTCCCTGCTTCAAAGAAGGCAGAAAACAAATGCATTTCAGTTTTCGCACTTGAAGCTGCAACTGGCCAATGGCCAAAACGGCTCAGCTGCCAAAAAGAAAACAAAAAAAGTTAAATAAAACAAAAAGAAAGAAAATATCTAAAATTACAACAACAACAACAATAACAAACAACAACAACTGCCCTCAAGACAAGAGAAAGCAATAAAGTTTTGCATAAATGACGAAATAAATGACAGCAAAGCAAAACAACTCTGGCAAATAAGGAGAAGAATGCGAGCGGAAGCGAGAGAACAGAACGTCCTTTGCTCCTGCTGGGGCTGGGCTGTTCGATGCGGAGATGGAGGCTTTCAGTTCTGTGTCTGTTTGTCGGGTAGGTTAAATACGTTCTACTGGGAAATATAAAAGCTGACAGAGTGTTGTTGCCATTGTTGTTGTTGGCTGGCTCTTGTTTATTGACTTTGTGCGGGGGCTTTTTTGTGAAACAGCCAAAGCTGGATGGGGGTGGGGGCGAGGGCGAAGGCGGCATCGTATAATTTGTTTCTACTTTAACCAAAACCAAAACTCAACCCCCGTTTCATGTTCCAATGCCGCAAGTTGGAAAATTGTGCGCCTCAGCGGCGCTAACACACACACAGATTCACACACACGAATGAACGTAATTGGAGTTGATTGTTGTTGTTGTTGTTGTTGTTGCGTGCATACACCCAGTAATACCCTGTACTCTATTACGGATAATAGCTGCAGGAGAGTCGACAACTATCTGAAATTTATAGCAGATTATCAAAGTCAAAATGGAAATGAAAAATTCTTAACATTGAAATGTAATTGTGTGGTGTGACTGACTATATCATACTCTGTAAAAATTTGAAGCAAGTGCTGAAAGAGTTATAGCAAATATACTACTATATTTTTTAGAAATTAAAAAGTAAATCTTAAGCCCTATATAAAATCTAACAAGAACTCATAATATGCCGAAGTACAGGGAATGGATAAAGTCAAGCAACAACCTCTTTGCATTAATATAAACAACTTTTTCCCTCATTGCTAGTTGTTGTTGTTGTTGGCCAAGCTATGCAAAAATAACCAAAATGTCCAACAACAACAATCGCTTATTGCCATTGGCAAAACTATTGGCAAAACATTTGCCTCCAACCGCAAGAGGGCGTCAAAAGCGCCGCCTCGCCGCTCCCACGCACACAGACACACACACGGACACTTGAGCACATACATATACAAATTGCACTTGAACTTGCCGCAGAAACCGCCAAACAGCAACGCGTCGCCTCGCAACGCAACTAAAATTATATAATGCAAAAAAAAAACACACACACAAAAGAAGAAATAAACAATGACAACAACAACAACACTAACAGCAGCGGCGCAAGCAACATAGAAAATAAATAAAACAAATGTAACGGCCTTGAGAGCCGCCAACAACAACAACAGAAAGAACAACGCAACAAATTTAAAAATAATTTCTCAAAGAGAACGCGGAAAAAAAAGCGGATCAAGAGCAAGCAATGGCGGCCATGCGTTGGCGTTGACGTGGACGTAGACGTAGACGTAGACGCTGGCGCTGGCGCTATCGGCGACTGCAGCGCCAGCAGCGCCGTCATTGAAATTATGCAAAATGAGAAATTGCCGGACGCAACGTGCATGTGCGTGTGTATGTGTGTGCGCATACACATACGTATGCAAATTAGCAGTTGGCAGCTCCCACTGACTGCATGCTAAATGATGCCAACCAAAAATGCGAGCTAACGGCACACATTAAAATTGCAGCCATTTTTGCTGTTCTTGCTTTTGTTGTTGTCGTGTGTGGGACGCCCCCTTGAGGCTCGTGTGTTCAATAACGCATATGAAATGTAAAAGAATCCAATGCCAATCGATTGCGCGGATTAATCGAATAAACGTGCCTTCAATTTCTATTGCAACAAAACCAAGATAATTGGGATTAAAATCGAGTAGAGTGAACAAAATACGTTAAGTAGTCAACGTAATCAACAGCAGCGACGACAACAACAACAACAGCAGCAGCAGCAACACACCCGCCTCGCATGTATAGACATTCGGCTCTGTTTCTGTCTGTCTGTGCCAGCGGGCAAATCCACCACCCAAAATCCACAAAGCTGCATTGTAACAAAAATTCCACAACTCACCTGCGACGGCGACGGCGACGGCAGCGACGACTGCGAGCGCGGCTGCTGTGATTCTTCTGCCTACTTTCTTTATTGCAAATCTAATTATCGTTTTGCAGCACTTCAGTTTTTGTGTTTTTGGCAATCGTTAAAGCTAATGTTCTATAAATGGCTGTTTTTTCTCGATTTTTTTTTTTTTTAAACACTGGCACGCACGCACACACACACGCTTACTCAGTCATTCGCTCGCACACACACACACACGCGTACACACACTCACTCACTGGCACGCACATGCAGCGGCACAGACGCGAATAACCGTTAGCAATTAACAACGGGCACCGTGCACCTCGAGTTCAGAACATCGACTGCCCGAACGCACGAGCTCTGCAGGAATATAGTGGGAAAGCCAGCTCGACGCTGAGCTGAGCGAAGAAGAGCGCGCATGCGCCATTCATCCTCTAATTCTTATCACTGAAACCGCAACTGTAACTGTCAAACTAACGGAATTTACGCGCTTTTGTGTACGCTCATTGCGGCGTTTGTTCATTTCGAGCGTATTGATTTTTTACCTCACTCTAAATAGTCTGTTAGAATGGGCAGTCGCTAATCATTTTATGTTGATAATAATTCACAGCATCGTATTTACCCGTATTCTTTTAAAATAAATGCTACTTTCAGTCAGAAAATTACACTAATTTAACACAAAGGTAATGCAGGTCTAACGGGCTGAACTATTCGCCTGCGTTGCTAACGCGCGCGAGGGCTGCACTAACCGAACGAACTGTGTACGAACTGGTTCTTACATCGGCTGGTTCCCTTGCAGGTGCATTGAGTCACTTACATGGCATCCAATTCAAAAAATATTTCATTTAACTCGTGAGTCCAATAAATTTACATTTGTATAAAATATTGAGCTGCTTGTGAATTTTAGTATCATTATGGTACAAAACATTGATGTGAGTCACATGCATAAATTGCAACTTGCATTCTAAGAGTGCATTCATTCAAACTGAAATCGAATTCAAATGTATAGTTACAATCGATAATTGTGGATCGTAACTGAATATAATATATATCATCTTCCCAAACATGTTGACTGTTTAAACTTACAAAAATACCATTTTTTATAGCATTGATGAACACTTTTTTAGTAATTTTATTAAATTAACCAGCAGTTAAATATTTTTAAATTTACCGATAGGTCATCGTATCGGACGTTCAAGTGCTGTAAAAGACGAACATTTGTGAGAGCAACTAAGATCGACTGGCCGCCACATTGAGTCGTCGATAACTCTTACAGCACTATCGACTAGTACATATTGTTTTTGCTCAGAGTAGTTAATACAACTGTTTTCCTTTACATATTTGCCCATCAGGTTGTGCAATTTTGTGTGTTCCTTTTTGGTGTTTGATAAGTGCTGCGCGTTTGGTGATTCGTTTTGGCATTATATTTGCAATTGTGCAAGAAGTTGTGCAGTTCACAATGCGAGCGCTGCGAAAATCAAAAAAGTCGCATTCGTGTGTGTGAAAATTCAATACAAATTGCAAAAGCAAAAAAAAAGCCAAACAGCAAAAGTGAAAAATGTGCTTGGTGGAGCATGCGGAAAATAAGCATAAGCTCTCATCCGCCAACATACTAACAAAGCAACAAACCAAACAACGTTCGTCTTCCTCAACATTTTGCTCCACACTCAACAACAGCAACACCAGAGTCTACGATATAAACACGCAACAGCAACAACAACAACTCGAAGCAGAAGAACAACAACAACAACATCCCCAACAACAACATCTCCATCATCATCAGAGCCCAGTCTGCGACAGCACACACACGCCCACATTTAACGCGAAATATAGGCGAAAATGTTTGCTGCTGCTCTCGCTGCTGCTGTTCCATGGCTGTTTCAGTGGCTTACATAGCGCCAGCGCCTACAACTGCACCACGAATCCTTGCCAGAACGATGGCCAGTGCCTCGATGGGCAGTGCATCTGTGCCGATGGCTGGCAGGGACCTGCCTGCCAGTTCTGTGGCGGCAAAGTACGGTTAGTAATGAAGCACTCTCTCTCCACAACTCCCCTCTCTCTCCCTCTCTCTCCTCATCTCTTTCATTCTTTGAGTTTGGTGCAGTTATCGTTGTCGCCGCATGATTCACTGCGACAACAACAACATTAGACAAAATGAACGTTAAAATGTATTATTCAATCAGCTTTTGCACTCTATATATATATGTATATATATTTTTTTTGTTTGCGGCCGATTTGTGTCAACCAACGGTTTAGTTTTTTGAGCTGTTGCCCATTCTCGTTAGACGGGTTCCACTTTGTTGTCTCCAGCTCTCTTTTTCTTTTCTCTCACATACCCTGCTTGCTGCCGTCTGAAGGGGTCGTTTTGAATACTATAAGCAGTTTGTGACATGTTTGGGTTTGTTATAAAAATTGTAATTGGGAATCCTTATTATTTTAGGGAAGTCGTGAAAAGTCAACGCATCTGAATTGGAAATATTACTACTTCATTTCAAAACAAAAGCAACAACAAGCATAATTAACATACAGGGTGTTTGCTAGTGTCATAATCGCACTTATTACTCGTCGTTGTTGTTGTTTGCTTCGCCTTTCTCATTTCATTCTTTACGTTAAACTGTGTGCTTTCTACGCGCTTACGCCCATTTCTGACGCGCTCGTTCTTTCCCACTGTCTGGCTGTCTCTGTCTTGCGCACGTCTGACGTCTTCCTCTACCATTTCCAATCAGAGTGCATGCCTTAATTACCTGACTCTTGGCTTTGAGCCTGTCTTCTTCGCCTTCCTCAGCTGCGACTGCGAACTCACTCGAGCACAAATCAACTTTTATTCTAATCAGTGGAGAAAAAAGTTCATAAAGCTCATAAGACAGTTTGTTTATGTTTCATAATAACGGGTATTTGCACAGAGTGCGCTCGATAAGGGCGTTCTGTATCTTGACAGCCGTGTACTTAACACAACAGTTGGCTTTGTTAGCATATAGCGATACTTGTATATAGGGTATTCAAGTGTGTCATCATTTTTTGGTGTCTACAAAATGCACAGAAGCATCAACAGACTTTGCATAGGCTTATGTAAAGCAGCGATTACAGATTAGCTATAGATTTATCTGTGTGCAAAAGTAGAGCATCACGTAGTCGGTTAGCTACTTTCTGGAGTGCTCTCTGGCTTCCATCTAACTGTCGCCATTTGCTCTGTTTTATTTGCTTATTTTTTGTAGTTTGTTGTCTCCATTGACCGATTGCCATTGTTACGATATGAATGCAAAAGAAACCAACACATGCATAGCCACACTTAACACATACATACATACATATATGAATAACTTCTATATAGTTTTGTGATTTACAGCTGATATGGCATAGCCTCAATTTGGCCAGGCTTATCAACAGCGAAAGGCGTTATCACGTTTGCGTTTTGCCCCATCAGCGCGTCAGCGCACCTGTCTCTCTATCTATCCCTCTCCCTCTCTTACAGAGGTGTAAGGTTCTCTCCATTTCATTCTTAGCTATATAAGCTCGTATTTGTTTAGTATTCAGCCAGACGACTCTTCTTCTACATTTAGACAGGTTCTTTTCTTCGAGCTGTTTGCCATATGTGTTGCAGCTCGCTAAATCTAAACTTGGAAATTATGATCCATAATCCATATTAAGACAGTTGCCTATAGATATTCCTCACTGGAGGCTGTTGACTATCCATCATACAGTTTAATAAGAGTTTCAACTTTTGATAGAAAATCATGAAATGGGTTAATTTTATTCATTATGCATTCACCTTCGATCTCCATATTGAGCAATCAGTTCTTAACTTTCTTATCTCATTTAAGACTTCTAATCTAGTTTATAACCTGACCAAAACAGAAATTCGACTATGTCGCTAGGTCTTGGACTAAAATATTAAAAGTATTATAAAAATTTATTATTAGAGGCTCTGAATAGTCATCCTATTTCCGATAGTAATCGATAACTGCAGATTGCAGATCGAATCCTATATTCCGGGTATCCCCTGGTAAGCCACACCCAGCCCCAGAGCTTTCTTAATTGTTTCTATTGCAAAAAAAAAACTCGCACTTTAATTAGTTGCGAATTGCAAGCACATACAATGCGAAAGCTAGTTAGAGCATCTATTTATTTTACTCATTATGCACTTTGCTCTGGTTTTTCGTTCGTTAATTTTGTAGCTGAAACCTGATACAGCTGTTGGCTTTTATGGCAGTTCGCCAGATAAAATGTGAAAGCGAGCGGACTAGAACACCATATCATATCATAGTATAGCATTACCATATAGTTGTCCGACTAATAACTGTATAATACAAATATAGAGAATACTTTTATAATTACAAAAAGCTGATTTCATTTATTTGAATATGCAAATATTGTCCAATAGAAAAATCGACTTTTCGAAAATATGCATATAGATATCGTTATTTATCAGTAATATAGATATACAAAGCGATATTTATCGATAAAGCCATGTGCATAATATTGAAACAAATCGAAAGAAATCAAAATGAAAACTGATTAAATTACGAATATTAAAGCATGATTTTTCATAAAGTTCAATGCTTCTCTTTATAAGCGATAATAAAATAAAATATAATTATAAATATGTAAATTTGTAGCCACACTTTCACCGTTGACAGTAAAGGCAATAATAAGTACTAACCAAAACTGATTTATTACACTCATTTATGAAGTGAAGAGAGTATATTGGTTTTGTACAGTGCTTACTGAAACAGCTCTTCAGAAATGTATGTATATGGCTCTGCATTTGAAAGGAAATCCATTAAATTGGGAACTTCAAATCTACTAATATAAATTCCATATGTATAGGGTATATGTATGTGTACTCGTGTGTCATCCCTTCTGATAAATTACTACGAATTATCACAAACAAATATCCTCTAGCTCTATTATTTATGGTGCTATAGAAGCTGGATTATAACTTATAACTAGATGGGACATATTTAAATATTAAATATTTGATCCGAAAAGCGTACTACATATAGGCTTCAGGGTTATCGAATGTTTTTGGGATTAGCATTGCATTACTGTTAACCTATTGAACCTACTGTTAACACTATTACTACTATTAACTTAACGAGTATTCCGCAGTCGGTCATACCCGATTGCCACGATATTTTTTTTTTGTTTATATTGTTGAAGTTCATACTAAAAACGTTCGAGCATGACGTGAGTGTCCATGGAAATGCGCATTAGCAATTCTAATAAAACATTCTATGCACTGCTTAAGCCTGACTTGGCCATTATGACATACATATAGATCTGCATATATACATATACATATATTGATATATGTATAATTTTCTTTTGACCGAATTTCTGTTGTTTCACAACTGTGTCTTGATTAGTGCAATCTATTGAGTTTGAATGTTTAAAAAATGTTTAGAAAACACTTGTAAAGTAAACAGACGGCCTATGATAGAGGTAGGAGGTTTACTATCAAGACATCAGCTATATATACTATATGTATATATATTGACCTGGCTCAGTTAATTGTTTTCAAGTTGAGAAAATACACAACGCTGCATATCTTATGTCTCTCAGTTGGCAAATGAAAAGAAAGCAGTTATTTTTAAACGGATATGATGGACGCGTAGACAGACAGCTGGACGGCTGGACGGCTGGACAGCTAGACAGTTGGACAGCTGGTCGGTTTTACTATAATAACAATAACAAAGAGCGCTGCGGCAGTTGCGGTGCTTCTGGCTCGCTTCTCATGCCACATGCCACTTG